GTCTTCCACATATTCTTTAACACAAAATTCTTATAATACTGACATCTAAACAAACTATAGACTATTTGATAATTTATAGTACACAATTCAAAAGGAAAGAAAACCTATTTTCTTTACACACGTTTCAGTGGACAATATTGAAATATTTTAAAGAATGCTTCACGTGTGTAAATTAAGATGTTTAGCTTCAGTAAAGTAATAAATATAAGATTAATTAGACATGCAACTATAAATAAAATAGCAGTAAATTACTTAATATCTTATTATTTACAATTACAAACGTTATTGTAGAGTAATTATATTTTATATGTCTAAATGTGTAGATATTACATGACGCATGTACCTACGCAGTTACAAACAAACAACAATTTCATACTTAACACTGGAAATTATGAGATTGGAGACGCGCTTTGCGATTTTTTTTTAATTTTTACACAAAAAAAATCTGGAGTTATTTAAGAAAACCTATTCTAAAGTGATCCTTCTTCCCCAGGCGGAGTCAGATCGGGAGAGCGGCGCGAGCTCGCCGGAGGGGGGCGCGTCGCGTGCGCAGTTAGCTGAGCCGCGCACGCCCTCGCCGCGCTCGCGCACCCCACACCAGCAGCCACATCTGAATGGCTCCAGTGAGTTCGTACTACATTCACTTATTACCTTTTAATAGTTTTAAGTCTAAAACCCTACATTTTCGACCAACTCACGAAGAACATCGTAATTTCCCAAACTTCTCGACAAGCGTACGCATCATGGCTAATCTCAAAGCAGTTCAGCAGTGGACATCCTAGTAGCTGATGAAAAATACACTCAAAGTCACACACAGCGCTTGATATCACATTTTAAAATTTAATCTGGTTACATGGTGGGATTTGTCGAATGTTGCGTGTGTCCATGGGTAGCACTTGTCGCTATGAGTTGATTCGTCTGTTCATTTGGACCTGCCTATAAAAAACTAAGATAATTAGATCCTATGAAAAGCTAAGATAATAACAATTCTTCGTACAAAACTTAAAGTAGTCACAAACATCAAACTTTAACGATCAATAATTTTGCCACCAAACAATGAAAGTCCACGTAAACCGTCTTGTGTGGCAGGTCAGAAGTTAATCTTATGATGATTGCATTCCACCCATTATTAACGTCAGCTTATGATTGCTGCGATTGCATAATAACTCTCCATTCATTTGCTAACTTTGTAATATAGACACCTAATTCCATAAATATCAAAGGCTTCTGACAGTTCACTGCTGCCCTATGAGCGTCTGCTACTTCTCTTTAATAGAGTTTGTCATAATTTTGATGCTTAACGAGGAGCAGGTTGGAGACCATAGTTTAAAAATGCTAGCTTATTAAATAGCAATACAGCTCGGCCTCTGTCAATTGTGCAGTCCCTTCATCGTCTCTTAACAATACCATTAGGAAACTCATTGAATTGTGATAATATCTTAAAAACTTGTTCTATACTAGATAAAATTAAATAAATAAGTAAGCTTTTAAGTCTCATTGTAATTGAAAGAACAGACCTCCAGGGACTAAAGTTTTATTTTAAATAAACAGAATCACTCCAAGCGTTAAAAAGAATATTAGAATGTAACGAGATATGTTCTAAAAAATTAAAGTACAAAAAATCTAGAATTTAGAACAGTTGTTCAAGTGTTTCATAACATAAACAGGGAAAGTATAATGATAATCAAGAACATTTATCAAACTCTTAATGACATTCCCTAAACAATACCCTTCCTTCAGTCGGGTAAAAATAAATTAAAAAAGCTCTAGATCCCGCATACTGTATAATGAGTCCAAATAATCAACGTATTTCTCTTGTCCACAGTGGCGTCGATGTTCCAAAATCTGCAAAACCTGGCGAACATGCAACAGAACATGCCACCGATGTCGCAACAGCTACAACAACAGATGTCGCAACAAATGTCGCAACTTGCTGCGAACCTTCAAGGCTTATCGTCTATGCCCTCCAACCCTGTTATCAATTCGCCTTTGAATTTGAGCGTTAGCGCACCTGGTAAGAAAAAATATTATTTATTATTCTTAAAAAATATAGATTAATTTGATCTGATGTAGCGGAATTTTGGGTATTTGCAAGTCGAGTAAAGTGCCATTAAACGTTTAAATTGTTGAAAACTCTCAGTACAAAGCACTCAGTATCTACAAACAGTAGGCACCTTTTCTTTTTCATGCACTCATGAATTATCAAAAAAGGTCCTAAAATACTTCCTTGTGGCATTCCGGAACTCTTCAATACTAATTTGTTTACCATTGAAAAAATATGTTTCCTAGATTAACATCTATACTGAAATCTTATTTGTTTAACAAATGGTTCTAACATAGGTTGGTTATAACAGCAATTTATCGCCTAAGGGCCATTATAATAACCGATTTCCGTAACTTTTACTGGTATTACTATGAAACTGGCATTCATATCTTCAAGAAAATTTCCTTCAACACTTTAATAATCATTTACCTATGGGATATCTTCCGTTCACTGTGGTAGGTGACAATTAACTTGACACTTTTAATCAGTTTTAATTATTGGCAACTGAATAGTTTCTTTGCGATTAGAAAACAACAATTAAAGTTGTTCAGGCAGGAACGTTAAAATGATCAAATCATATGAGTCTCGAATCGAAACATACGTAGTTTCTAGTAACTTATTTTAACGACTTATGAAATCATTGGCATAGACTGTATGCATCATCATCAATAACTACTGCGTTTTATATGTAAACTTACTCAAAGGTGTGACATATTATTTCAGTAAACACAGTCATACAATTTGTCCACACATTCAGTTCCGTTCCTCACAAAACAGAAACAAAAAATCCGGATTTCAATTAAAGTGCTTTAGTAAATAATTTTTTGCCACTTTAAGACAATTAGATTTCATTCCCGCATCATCATCAAGATAAAATAAATATTCAGAAACCGATTAAATAACGTTGACAGGCGAATATACGTCGCTAGTCGGAAATACAGAAAATATTTTTCCATTTAAGCTAATATTATGCAATTGAAAGCGTCACCTCAGTAACTTAATTACCATTTTTCAGGACATTAGCATTTCAAAACGTCTGGTATTCTTCAACGGAGGGTACGCCACTAATTAGACTGAATTAGACAGATTGGGATAATCAGAAATACACGGTTTGCGCATTAAAACTCTTAACTTCGAAATCACGTGAGCCGTAATTAGGTGATTACCGAATCCAATCGATATAATGAATTCAAGATAGCGGCTTCACTCGCCCGCCCATTAAAGCTATGCGGTAATGGACGAAAAAACCTATTTAAATAATGAGTATAATTACATATTTTTTTCACGAACGCACGGATATTACGACTGTTGCGGTATCATTAAGAGTTTTATTGTCTTAATAGAGCTAATTATACATTTTTTTCGGTTCTTAATTGATGCGCCTTAGGAAAGAACATTTATCACAAAATGTGAAATGTCATGGTTTAAATGAATACGTTATGTTAATGTCGAGTTTAACGGGCTTGTAAGGTATGCAGATAATATTTTAGATTTTCTTTAGAACCGTTTTGTTCGCAGTGAATTAGTTTTGGTCGGTTGCATATGGGTTTTGGGTAATTTTCTATCGTTACTTTGGTTTCGGTGCAGTTGGGGCTGAGGCGGCGGGTTATAATTATAATTACGATATTTCATTTTATTGTTTAATGACTTAAGTAGAAAGTCGTCGGTCGACCCATGTTGCACGATGTTTCGTCACTCCGAGTTACCATGACAGACGTGTTAACATTTAGTCATCGATAATCACATATTTTATTTGCCAAATCCGATTTTTATTATGAATTGAAAAATATTATATGATTTTTTGATGTTCGATTGATTGATTTGGTATGAATTCGCGCAGGTTTTGGTGTTCTTATAAAACATCGTGATAAATTAGCGACGCGCATTATAATGGTCTTTTTTCTAGGGTTATGTACCTAGTAGAACTATAAAATATACATTAATGTTAAGATTTTATGTTCATAACACGTGACTAAATGTTGTACAGCGATACGGATAATTTGTTAATTACAAGTAATGTGTAATCTTAATCACATAAAAAGTTACACGTCTCACAAAATGTTTTGCTTCGTCCAGTTTTATAACTAACAGTCATTTGTTCGTAGCTACGAAAAGATATATTTCGTAACGTTATTTTATTATGATCAAGAACAGTATATGATTATGTAAAGTACACCAAATAACACCCAATAATAAATTAGTGAGCTCATATAATAAAATATGATCAAATTTAACATAACATAATATAACATCACGCCTTTTATCCCTGAAGGCGTAGGCAGAGGTGCACATTATGCTACTATACAAAGTAACACACACTTTTACTGTTTATGTTATGAGTTCCATGTAATAGGGGGTGAGCCTATTGCCATATACCGGGCACAGTTCCAGACTCCGTGCTACAAAAGAGATTTTTTTAAAAACCCAGTAATACTTTGCCCGACCCGGGAATCGAACTCGAGACTCCTTGCCCGGCAGTCGCACTTGCGACCACTCGGCCAACGAGGCAGTCATGATCAAATTTAAAGGCAAAAATTGATGTTACAAGCATACATTTTTGTTTCGACTAGTACTTCTTCATTTCTAATCTCTACCCCGAAAATGATTTATACAATACTAGCGACCCGCCCCGGCTTCGCACGGGTGCAATATGTATATACATACAAACCTTCCTTAAGAATCACTCTATCTATTAAAAAAAACCGCATCAAAATCCGTTGCGTAGTTTTAAAGATCTAAGCATACATACGGACATACAGCGAAAGCGACTTTGTTTTATACTATGTATTGATGTTGTATCTATAAAATCAGAAGTCTAATCAGAAAATATAACAAATCTTTGCTCGACTCAAAAACTTAGAACCTCATTTGGTTAGATACTCTAAGCTCAACAATTGCGCTTGCAAATCCACAAGCCAGTCTACATACAATAATATCGAAACAACAAATCTCAAGAACATATTCTTCTTCTCCTTTAAAAGGTATGGGATCACCAAATCCCGTGGCGAACAACAATATGCTACCGCCTGCGATGCCGTCCCCCATGCCGCAGCTAATTCTTGCCTCCGGTCAGCTGGTGCAGGGAATCCAAGGAGCCCAGCTGCTCATACCGACTTCACAGGGTAAGAAACAGTATTAACTTGACACATCGATGGGTGTCATAATTAAAACATGTTAAAAATATGTTTAGATCACGCGATAAGTTATTAAATACTTGTGAAAATCAGGTCTTGCTGTCTATAAGGTCTAGGGTTAATAATTTTGTATCTAGACCTGATAATTCGGGTATATGTTCAAAATGAATCATAATATTGCATCTTACTGGACTTCACATTTGAAAATACCTATCAAAATTAATGAAAATGATATAAAATAACCAGAATCGCAACGCTTAATTAAAAGTTCAATGTCTGAAGGACGTGGTAAATCCGTGTCGAACATAATTTGACATAGACTCAAACATGTGTAAGCCTGGATAAAAAATAACGAGTTTTTATTAACTCTATTCGATATTAGTTGATGAAAATTGTTGTAGTCTTGATCTCATCATAAAATTTCCATAGTTACGACAGTTTTAGAATCTACATACTTCAGCAAGACGTTCAATTTAATTTAGTTGTCATAGTGATTCAATGACAAAAATTTCTTATTCTCCTTACACAGGCATAGCGACTCAGACGATCCTAACAATACCAGTCAACCACGTAAACTCGAACGACCAGATGGTAAACCTGGCCCTAAACAATGGCCAAGTAGTGTCCACGTCACTCGCCAACCTCCAAGCCATGGCCCAACCTCACCAGCTGTTGAATTCCAACCCCCAACAGACGCCCAACATTCGGCCAAACATGCTGAACCCAACATTATCGAACGCGCTGCTAAACCCTGGACTGCCAAACTTCTTGTCTAACGGCGCAGCCAATGCCCAAGAATTACTCCAGGCGTTGCAACAGCAGCAGCAGCAACAACAACAGCCTCAAGCGAACCATAACCTTCTGCAAACGGTTCAGCAGAACAGTATGCCACAGCAAATGCCAGGCAGGCGATCCTCGTCTCCTCGTCCGGACAGGCACTATAAAGAGAGAGAAAACTTCGCTGACAGATTCGGAGGTGGATCCAGAGAAAGGAACGAGAGAGAAAACTCAGGATCGGCAGCCATGAACAGCATCAACAGGTGAGTTTAGTTCTAGTCCGTTTTTAGCTCTGTGGAACGGGAAAATGTGTTCGATCTTTTACGAGTGTGTAATTAGTACGCGTGTACGTTACAGTGATGCCCGACTAGTTTTAAATACCGGAGTACTAATTAATGAGTTTGCCTTCGTTCTACTTTGTTTCTACCGGTTTGTTTACTACACTAAAACTATCGATTGATATAGGAAAACTACAAAATAATACTACTAACATGAGAACCGATCTAACAAAGATACATTCGAACGAATTATCAACAATTATGACAATAAAATTGATTTTTGAAATCAATTACATAGTAATTGTCCAAGTCTAATAGTGTTTGATGTGGATCACCAATGTTGGCGTGCGTTCGTGGTGTTGTATTTGCGCCCTTATGACGTAGGGGATTAAGTTAATGTGGAGTGCAGATAATGTGTTTTAGCGTGGGTGCACCGACAAGTGTTAGTGGTAATTATGTGATAATGAATGTAATTACACTGTGACGCCAGTACTGTAGTCCGCGGATCTTGTGCGTGCGAGTGAATTACTAATCCACGTTTTGTTGTGTCGGTCGGGGGGAGTTTTTTCATCCCTAATTAGTGATGAGTTTTCATTATTTTAATGGGTTTGCCATCAAAATTGGTATTTGATGTTTTTAATGAATGCATTGGGGCTTTTACCTATGAATATACTTATGATTGTTTGATTTCTGTTTATACGTAGTTAGAGATACGTTTTGTTTGTTAGTTAATCAAATATATGCTTTTAGTCTTCGTAGGTACTGTAATAGTAACTATAGATTATAAATAACTGTAAGCAATTGGATCTGATTATACATTTCGTAATACGAGATTCAAAGCTGCGATCTCTTCATTGTAAGTTTAATCCATATTTTAAATAGATTTCCTAATCAAAAAGATATACCTAATGCGCTATGTGGTCACCTACTTATTGCATTTATCCTTAAAGGTATTCCCCAAGTCCAATTCTTATACTTTCCTTAAGTAATGCATGTAAGAAGGTGACGAATCGAGAATGCAAAACCAATTATTATGATTAATTAATAATTAATTTGTTTATAATTTTACCGCTAACCAGGTACCTAATTAATAAAATTGTAATGAACTGTATTTACGTAAATAATGAATTGAAATATTGTATTCTTATAGGTAAAGGAAACTCTGACCTAAATATATGCAAAAGGACTCATCACTATTCGGGGAAGATTATAATTCAAATAATTTTCTGACTAATTTAAATGATAATTAATGAAAAATAATAAGACAATATTAACAATTTTAACTTTTCGTTGTGGGGGGTCTTTTTAAGGGGGGAAAATCATCGAATGACTGCTCCCGCCTGGGTGACCCCTCAACTGATAAAAAAGTTATTTATTCTTTCATAAGCATAACCTTGATATTTCAAAATGCAATTTAAATGTAAAAGATATAGAGCACAATTTTCGCAATTTCCCGTTCATCACCCTTGAAGAAATGTCACAGATTAAACAAAATATATTAACAAATGACACACATTAGCTACTGATATCTTAGGAGCGGATCAGCTAGATAATAATCTAGAATTCTAGATAATCTTAGTCTATTAAGGTCAAACACTTATGTCTATCGCAATCTTTAGCTGAGACTGAGATAATTAGGTGATTAAATGTACAACTTAAATTAAACCTTATGAGTCCCTGATAGGTCAGATATTACATGCAACTAGTCAAATCGTATTGTAATGGGGGCTACTGTATTTTTGCTCACCACATTGTGCCTAATGTGAACCTCTCGTTCTTCGCCCAATAGGGTATCAGCTAGTGTAAGTAGAATTAAAGTAGGTTATCGATAGCAGCGTCTTTTTCAAAGGTATTTTCCTGTACCTATATTCAACGTCCTACATGTCTACCATGCATGTCCAGAATACACATTAAAAATACTTATTCATAATGAATTCGGTGTAAAACTACGTAACAATTAACAATACAAAACATCGACTTTTCTTGGAACATTATTATTTTAATTCCACCGTCATTTAAACTCGATTCACGTTTAATTAGTACGTATGTTAATTAATTTGATGACTAATGCCCCCACGTGAGTCTATCACGCGAATATTATCGTTTTTAACACAAAAGTTGTAAAAACAGATGCTATCAACCGGGGTAATGTCCTTTATTACACGTAATTATGCAGCAAGTGCACAACTGATGATATGCTTGGGGAAATACATTTGATATCAGACAATAGTGTATGAAAAGTATTATTGAATGAATCCAAGAAATTATTTTATAATTATCGGAAGTAATTGTCCAACGGTTGATGCTTAGTGTAGTGTACAATTGCGGTGATGCTATTTGTGAATAATGTAAGATGGTATTGTTAGGAATTTACTTTGTCCTATTTAGTCATTGTTGTCGAGTTAGTACTTCGTCACGTTGCATCATAAAATGAAATTAAAAGTTATGGTAAGAATATAATCCTAAAATCAACTAGAAAATGTACAAACTGTGGTTCTTTTACGTAATTTTGATGTTCATTCAGTCACTGAACTAAATTTTCAAACGAAAAATCTTTTAAATCTACTCATATCGCCATCTATCGTCAATGAAGAGAACTATGTGAATCCTTTTTACCACGTAAGCGATGCCAGGCATAAACTAAAACAAAATAAATACGTTTATAAACTGACACAATTTAATTAACTATAGTCAGAATTTTAATTAGATTCCAGATTTGACAATAGCTACTGTCATTTTGTGAAATAATGATACCACATATAATAGTGTAGTGATGAACACAAAAATCGATAAACAATCAGTGTGTGTTTTTTATAATAAATGTTACAGAAAGTGACAGGACAGCGACAGCGATGACGGCGACAATTCATAAAATAACTTGTGACCATAATATATCTATCTGTTTTATTTGTCATGTTCCTTCATGATTACATTTTCTTATTTATTTCACACACAATTATAAAAGAAAAGTCTCAGACGTTAATTAATCGTCAAAACTAAATTATTGGTTCAGAAATATTTAATTTCCTGATATACTTAGTTTACGAGAGTAAAATTATAAACGAGAAGAATCGATCCAGAAATATTGCATTTCCATATCGAATAATTTCGCAACGTCACTATTTAGTACTTGTCATAACGTTGCAAC